TTTTCACAAATACATTCAGTGATGTCAAAACAAGCTTCAAACTTGATGAAGTCACTTGAATAAAGGTATATTTAAAAGTGCATAGCATTTTTTATGTTTCTGAGATATTAAACATGTATATTTTGTGATACTGCATCTTTTGTTTATATGATATAAATATTAATTTCTCATAAGCTGAAGTTTTGGCATTACTCCTGTTAAAAATAACAGAGATATCCTAGATTAGCAAACACTTCCATTTTCTTATCTACGCACCATGGATACTCATCACAACACGTTTAAAACATATTCATCACCAAGTGTGTCAGATGCTTACACTGAAATAGCAAGACCCTGACATAGTTTGCTTGAAGAATAGAAATTGAGGGCAGCAGCTGTAATCCAAAAATTTATTCACTCACTTACTATAAGGAAAAGAAACTGCTTTGGATTACCATTGTTAATGACAACTGTACATTTGTGGAGGAAACACCCTAATGTGCAATCATCAACATTACAAAGAAATTCATCCAAAAAGTGGGAAATATCTAAAATGGAATAATAAAAGAAGAATCAATAAGTTAAACAAAAAATTGCAGCATACCTTATTATCTGGAAGCCAATGGTTTATAAACTAAAAACTTCGACCTCAAGTTTGAAATAGTGAATTTTTATCAGAGTTAAGTAAGAGTCATGTATTCTTTCCTTTAGTCTCATTAAAATCGCTATAATTTCTAAGAGAAAATGCTAAAACATCCCAATGTGATGAATACTACTTAATGAGGTTGCGTCCCCAGATCCACAAAGTATTTTGGGTGTGGAGAAATTTAAGACACAAATTGTGCAGGGACTACCTGTCACTGAAACAGCTACATGAAAGACATGTAATTAAAATGCCATATTGGATCTAGGAGAGATATGTCAACAAGATGGTTGAGGAGAGGTGCCTGGCACTCTTCCATCTCCAACAAGAAAGAAAATAAACAAAAAAACAAACAGCTATTTCAATGATGTGTTAGAAGCAGAGTGTCAGAGTGCCAGAGATAAATAACAAAGACATTGCAAACCAAGCAGATAAATGGCAGCCTTACAAGGAGGGGAACTGGGCACACAGAATCTATCTTCCAACCACTCATGAGCAACCCAAAAGTTGAAGAACTTTGGCTGGCTGGAGGTCTCAGGATTCTCATACTACAGAGATCCAAGGCATTTAATGCTGGAGAAGCCTGCTGCCTGCCCCTGCAGGCTCAGAGCCAAGTTTGGAGAACCGCCAGCTTACCATCCTGCTACTTTACTTGGAAGAAGAACCAAGAACATGCTGTGAACTCCACATCCAAGTACCTGCTACAGGATGCCATCTTGAGTCCTGTCCACTCCAGGATCTAAGAAGTCATCAGGCAGTCGCCCATGGCAGCATGCTCATCAAAGCCCTGCAAATCGGTCAGCTTGGAGACCACACAATTGAAAGAAGTGCTTACTCTCAGGGCTCTCGTGCAAAATGCATGGACCCGACAGTACTTACTGCACCCAGTCCCAGACCTGCAACACTATTTAGCTGGCTTAATTTGAGTGCCACCCACTCTTTGTTCCTTTTATGGAGGTCACATGCACCATTCTTCCAACATAAACATTTAATATATATTTGATAATAAAGTACTAGATTGTTTAAAATGCAAGAAACAGAAATACCTGTAATTTTCAAACTATGTATATGTAAGCCCTAGGGGTTGAGGAAAGAAATCATGTGGGTTATTCTGGGAGTGGTTCTAATCCTAACACCAATGAGCCACTGTGGGTCACCATATTTAAACAAAATAAATTCTACAAAAACTCCAATTGCACACAGGATTCACTATTAGGGGGCGGAGGGAGATTTAATCTTACAACGATGTAAATCCAATTTCAGATTTCTAATGTCTTACTTACTAAAAGTATGAATGGAATATATAAAATTTTATTTATGTGAAAGTTATAATGACACAGGGGTCAAGAAATCAATCTTCCCACCTTCTATGGTTTCCCGCAAGAACTGCATCAGCTGGGGCTGGGCCAGGATGAAGTCAGGAGCCAGAAACTCCATCGAGCTTCCTATGCATCTAGCAAGGACTCACATGCGTGAGCCATCAACAACTGTGTCCCGGGAGCTGGGAGCAGGACGCTGAGTTGGCAGGAGAGTGGCCATAACTTGGACCAACGTGATACAAGCCTGTGGGAGCCCCCAGAGGGAAGGGAACTCGCTTTACCGTTAACGACAGCTTTATGTACAACGGCAGGCGAACTGGCAGCTAGAGGGTCTCTGTCTTTCCTTCTCACTTGCAATTCTGACTTCCTTCTTTTTTAAAAAAAGATTTACTAATTTTCATTGCAAAGTCAGGTATATATTGAGAGGAGGAGAGACAGAGAAATATCCTCTGCAAGATGATTCACTGCCCAAGTGACCTCAATGGCCAGTGCTGCACCAATCTGAAGCCAGGAGCCCAGAGCCTCTTCCAGCTCTCTCACACAGGCATAGGGTCCCAAGGCTTTGGGCCATCCTTGACTGCTTCCCCAGGCCACAAGCAGGGAGCTGGATGGGAAGTGGAGCGGCCAGGATTAGAACCGGTGCTCATATGAGTTCCCAGCAAGTTCAAGTTGAGGACTTTAGCTGCTAGGCCATGGCAGCGGGCCCAATTCTGACATTCAAATAACTAAATAAATCATTAAAAAAAAGTCAAAATAGTACACTTTCAAACAATCTTCCTCTGCTCTATCACATCCCCCATTCCTCTCTCACTTCCTCCTCCAGAGGAAACAGTAGCTCAGGTGACACTAAAGTATCACAAGTCACTTGACAGGGATTTAAAAGAAAAAATATTTTTATATTTTCACCATGAAGCTTAATTTTTTAAAGAGAACATATAACCTAAAATTTCAAAGAGGGCTCACAATGCTTTGAAATTAGCCACTTTGTTTCAAGGAATCATTAAGTTGCCATGATTCAGACAAGTAAGAAATAGGGCAATGAATTGGTACTAAAACCAGATCAATATTTCGACTTACAAGAATAAAATGACTTGCTTTTCTAATATTAGTGATGGAATTTCTCCTGCTTTGAATATCAATAGACATTTAGCTCAAACCAAAATTTTTGGCCTGGGTTACTGTGTATTTTTTTCACTCAAAAACTTCACACAACAATAGAGCATTCTGGAAAAGACAAGGCTTATGTGGGACTGGATAATTACATAAAATACCAAGCACTGTCATGTTGAAAGCATTTGATTTTTCTTTGCTGAAGTATTTTTTCAAATAGCAATTGAATTATAACTCATTTCATATATAATGTTCTTCGCAAAATATATACAGAACATCTATTCTAACCATAAACAAGCGTGTCAGAGAGAAGGTTCATTTCACTATTTATAACCTGAAATGTGAAAGTTTAAAATTTATTATTGTATGAGTGTTACTTCCATCTAAACTTCACTTTGGTATTTACTTCAAGAACTCTAAAAGCACACTATGGAAGTTAGTAACCAAACCAAACCAAACCAAAAATAATGCCTTTGTGATTTTTTTCTGTGCATATCTATGAGAACTGAAAAAGTACAATCAACCTAAGAAATTCTTCTCCTAGTATTCAAAAGTTTCAAAATCTATTAATAAAACATACCTTAGAAGCAGAGCTGAGTTTTGCTATTATTTATCATTTCAGAGTTTACAGAAAACATACTATTTTGATCTATGTAATCATTAATGTATCAAAACACTGCTAATTTTAATTATAAAAATATAATAATGTAGTTCTGATAAATAAAACCAATAAAGAGCACATGGACACATATACTAATTCTAAATATTCTACCTTCTTTTATTAATTTGTGGAAAAATGTATAGTAACCTCATTTTTGAGCAAAAATCACTTTCACATGTGGAAGAAACCAATACTTTAAAGTTTGGTAAGTCTCTATAGAATGTAAAATATGTTATAAAAACAAAAGTAGATAAACATTAACAAGCACAGGTCAGTGTAAAACAAACTATTTTGTTACAGCAAGGAAAACCCTGAACACATAACTAAAATGTAAATTTCTAAAAAGTTTGAATTCAAATAAGATCAATGAACTCAATAAACGTTACAATACTATTTTGTACCTCTATGTCTTATGTTTAAAGCATTTTATTTAATGGCATTAAGAAATACTTAAAGGAAATGACAAAAAAAAAAACAAACCCAGTAAGTCATTTCCATTTTCTTTCTAAAGAATAAGACATTAGTTTAAAACAGCGAATCTACCCGTTCCTACTTCACTAAATTAGGGAAGCAAAGACTTCCAAATTTTTTTTGATCTGTGGTTACTAATACAGAGAGTACAAAAAGTATCATGTGCGTGAGCAACATTGACATTCTGAGATGTCATGACTGTCTAACAACCTTTGTCTACACTCCTGAGCAACAGCAGTGCTATTTCTTCTCCCACTTGCTATTTGTTGAAGTCTTTACCTACTGGAGTGGTAAGCCTGTGAGTGGGAAGTGAACTGTAAGTACAGCACTGTCTAATTGGGGAAAGAAAGAGAGACAGGAAGAAAGGAGGGAGGGAAGGAAGGAAGGAAAGAAGGAGGGTGAGTGGGGAACAGAGGTAGGAACGAGGGAGGGATATGATGGGAAGTACCACTTTGCTCCTTAATTTGTATATAATAAAATGATTTGAAATATATAGAAGCAAAAAGCAGCTACGATAGCTTTCTCAGAAACATATTCACTCAGGTTGCTGAATATTTTATAGTTTGTTAATTTGTGTAACTAAAATTTCCCCCAAAAAATTCAGAATTGAAAACAATCATTTCAGATACATCATCAAAATCTGTGTATGCTCATGAAACTACTTTGCTTTTCCTTTGGATCTTAAAATAATGGAGAATGACTTATCATGAAAATAACATAGTGTGAGAATATCATGTTTAAAATACATTTTTTAATGAAATATGATAAAACTTATAACACTAGTCAAATGCAGAAGGATAAAGGCAGTTGCACTTACATCCACAGCTCTCTTAATGAAAGGTATCTGTGTGCCACTGTCCAGATCTTCATTGATGATAAGCCTTCTGGCCCACTGGCCTGCCCGGACAACTCCGCTCCCGTGAATTAAAACCATCAGTTTCTGGGGATTTGTCAGAGCATCCTCACTCATGAAGATAAAACTCTTTGGTTCATTCTCAGTGGCATCAACCTGAAATTTAAACATAATAATATAATCATTTCTTCTGATCATTCATATGCATAAATGTGGAAATAATTTAGAGATTACTATAAAATATTACTTGGTCATTTCAGGAGTACAGAAATAAAAAAATAAGAAAACATGCGTTACAGACTGTCAGATATTAATGAATGAGCAAGATATGATATTAATTTAGACATAAAAATATATGAAACAAAGTATTGGAAATACTGTTGTATGCTAAACATTACACTATCATTTTAAATAATACCTCTGAATGGCTTCTATGGTCTAGGTACTATGTTTTAAAAACAATGATCTGATTCAATCACAATTTGCTTAACATAGAGCCATTATGACACTCACACAAGATAACACTGAGATTTCGGTAGTTTAATTGAACAAACTGCACTTACCAAATCTTTAATTCTCAAAAAGCAGCATATTGCACAGATAATAGAAAACAGAAAAGAACCAACTGAAAGATACACCCATTAGAACACCATATGGTCAGCCACAATTACTACCACACTTTGAAAAAGAGAAAACATTTAAAATTTAACTACATATTGTTTTACGCAAAACAATTTTCAGCTTTCATTCAAATTGTGAATACAGGATTACATAACAATTATGCATATCTATTTTGCATACAGTTAAGTTTTTAACAAGATGATGACTGACTTTGATTTAAATGATGTAGGAAGGGGTGATTTCCCTATTTCTTGGCCCAAACTCAAGGATAGCTCATACTGGCAGGAGCAGTCGTGGGGAATGAAGCCTTTGTGTGGTTGGGTCAAAACAAGAGGCTGAGGAGATGGCAGTGCTGGTAACACACAACCCCCTACCCCGAGAAGGTCATCGCACGCTGTGCCACGCTAAAGCTCTTCTTTTCCTACAGCACACATTAATGAAATTGTAAAAGAAATACATGAAAACAGCGATACCAAATATGTTCCAGATTCTCAATGTTTACCAATCATGCACACAGAAATAGAAAAAGAAAAGAAAATTAATTTCTCTATTTATAAAATAAACAGATTCGTCTCAGTAAGGAATGCTTTGCCATTGTGTAACCTGTACACATGTCCATTGTTCAAACAGCCTTGGGGCTTGAACAAACAGGGAGGACTTTCCTGGCCAACTCAAAGAAGACTCCAAACATCTCTCCAAGAATTCCTTAGTCCCTCTCCCTGCTTACAAACAATGAATATATTAGAAGCTCTATTTTGTGTATTTGCCTGGAGTTTGTATATTCACCATTTACTCTCCACAACAATATAAAAACCAGGAAGGCACAAAGTTCTTTGCTTTGTGTTCAACTATAATCTCAGTGTCTAAAATGGAGCCTTTTGAAATAAGGAACTTCACAAGTATCACTAGTGACCTCCTTAGACAAAAAAACTTTTAACCAAGTAGATCATGCAAAAGCTAGGTTATCCAAATGGTTTTAATGCACTCACTATTTCACAAAGCACCTAGTAATGATTAAGCTAATTTTGAGCAGGGTACACAGAGAACTAAAATGACACAACAGCAACATTATTACTAGCAACTAATAGTGCAGGAAGAATGTTAGGAAGTGTCACAATCACTTTAGTTTCACCTGCATGTTACAAAAAAAAAAAAAAAAAAGCAACTTACAAAGAAGTGAAGCCACGCAGAAGAGAGGTGATGACAGAGGAAAATCAAATGAGAAGAAAATTTCCCTTTTATCCAGAACAATCATGGGATAACAGTTAAAATGGCTAAAAATGGGAAATGGTGATAAGAATAAAGGGGAAAATAGAAAGGAAAAGCTGTCAGTATACAATGAGTAAGAGGCTACATGTTTCAGCTATTCGATTACCAGTACATCTAAACACAATAAACAAAGTGCCTCTTACAGTCAGTGAGCCTTAATGGGGCCCAGAATGACCATGCAAGTGGCCATCTATTTCTCTTAATGAAAAAACTTGGAGCTGAGTACTTTCCAGTGGGTTGTGATCACCGCCTTTTCCCCCTTGTTTTTTGGACTAATATTTGCTACCAGAGAGTCACTAATTCTTAAACAATGAAACACTGTCACTTTGAACTACAGAATAATCACCTTAAAACTAGAACAATACTTATTTTCAGAAATAAAAATGTAGTTTGTATATACTAGAATGCTGCTCAAGAATATTGAAAAGTCACTAATTAGGGTATCCAAAAATAAATGAACAAAAATTTCACTTCAATATTAAAAAAAAACCTGACTTTGTAACATGAGAACATCATAATACAAAAGAAAAAAACAAAGAAGAGGAACAATAAAATTAGCAAACAAAACATGCAAATAGAATTATGCTAATAACTATGGAGTGAGAGCGATATCTTATTATTACTAGGTGATAATGATCTCATCTTAATACAAAATTCTGATTCCGCACATGGTAACCATAAGCTACTCTGTATAAAGTTATGCTAATTTGATGTATTAATATACCTACAAGAATAAAATAAATTTTCATTAACCTAATTAGGTTTAGAAATGTCCCTTCAAAGACACCTTTTGTCTTCCAACAGTAATAATTCATTAAGCTAAGTTTTCATGAAGGAATTTACACTAAGGTCATTCCAGCACACACCTCACTTTATTGACAAATCAGCTCCCAACACCCTTAGGTCAGTGACACTGCCCGAAGCAGTTTTTAGTAGCTAACAGTTCATTTTGAAACACCAAAGAACCCCACTAACCATGCTGTTTCATTTAAACATGTTGTATGAAAAAGGGTGAACAAGAATTTGAAGTGAAAATAGTAGGTTAACTTAGGAATTCAATATTCTCCAAAAGTATCAAGATACAGCAATGGAGAACATTCTATGCCTATTTATGTGAGGTGTGAAGTAAACTTCAGACAGGATCATGATCTTTACCATGAAATCAAAGGGTTTCCACAAAGTTCTCTCTTTTGAAAAAAAATAAATCGTGCTAAAATACTTGCTCATACCAATAGAAATAAGATTTCTTGAGTGTGCATTGCAGGAGCATTTAGTTACAGATTGGAACATCTGTATCCCATATAAGAATTCCTGGTACCAGTCCTGGCTCACCTGCTTTTGATCCAGCTTCCCACCAATGCAAACTCAGAGAGGCATCAGATGATACCTAAAGTATGTGGGTCTCTGCCACCCACGATGGTAAATGTACACAGACTGATTGGCTCCTGGCTTTGGCCAGCTGTACCAATGAGGCTGTGAGCATCCAGAGAGTTAACCAGCAGATGGAGGACCTCTTTCTGTCCGCCTCTCTACCTCTGTCTCTCTCTGCCTTACCAGGAAATATCTTCTAAAATCTAAAATACATAAATAAATAAATAAAATCAGATTTCCTTTTTAAAGATTGAACTAATAAGCATAAATTATGGAGAAGAGCAGTATTTTTAAAAATCCTCAAATCCTAATATTTAAAATCGAATAGCATTACCAGAGGAATTTGTATAAAACTCATGCAAAATGTTATACAAAAAAGTTATGATATGCCAAGTTTCCTGCAGGGAATGAATCATTTTCATCAAATATTCCTGGTTCTTATACAAGAGTTATTAGGGATAGCAACATTTAACCTACCACTCTCGCCATTCCACATAGAGGATTGCTCTATCTCCACTTGGAAAATCAATGCTTTATGTTTAAATGAAAAACAAAAGGCTTTATATTCTTTTGTAAATTTAGGAACAAATCTAGAACGTTATATTCCTTTGTGAATTTAAGAGCAAATCTAGAATGTTGTCCCTCTGAAATATAAAAAATATGCAAAACCTCAAAAAAAAAGTGTTCTGCCAGAAAGGGAAAGAATACTGTTATAAAACAGGAAACACCAGGAATGAATTTTGGAATATGCAGAGGAAATATATTATGTGTAGAAATAAACCATATTTTTATAAAACAAGAAATATTTAAAGAGACAGTGAATGTCTAATGCAACAAAATGTGCATTTTTCACTTCAAATGAATCAAGTAACCACTGAAATTAGAAAAAAATAGAAGAAGGATAATCATTTTTATTACATCATCAGTTTCTAAAATATTGGAAATTATTATCTTTCCCATACATGACAAAGCAGTATTTTATTATTTTTAAAAGATCTGTTTATTTATTTATTTATTTAAAAAGATTTATTTGTTTTTACTGGGAAGTCACATAATCAGAGAGGAGGAAAGACAGAGAAGAAGATCTTCTGTCTGATGATTCACTCCCCAAATGTCCACAATGGCTAGAGCTACACGGATCCAAAGCCAGGAGCCAGGAGCTTCTTCTGGGTCTCCCACATGGGTGCAGGGTCCCAAGGCTTTGGGCCGTCGTCTACTACTTTCCCAGGCCACAAGCAGGGAGCTGGATGGGAAATGGGGTTGCCGGGATTAGAACCAGTGCCCATATGGGATCCTGGTGCATATAAGGCAAGGACTTTGGCCACTAGGCTACTGCACCAGGGCTAAATACTTATTTATTTTTATGCAAAACGTAGATTTGTAGAGAAGAGGAGAGGCAGAGATCTTCCATTCAATGGTTCATTTCTCAACTGGCAATAATGGCTAGAGTTGAGCTGATCCTGAGCCAAGGGCCAGGATCTTCCTCTGGGTCTCCCACATGGGTGCAAGGGCCCAAGAACTTGAGCCATCCTCTGCTACCCTCCCAGGCCATCCAATGGGGAGCTGGATTAGAAGTGGAGCAGCCAGGACATGAATTGGTGCCTACGCGTGATATTGGTGCAGGCAGAGGTTTAACTACTATGCCAAGACTCTGCCTGCACCCCCTCCTGAAAAGCACTTCTTTACAAGAATTATGGTATACAGTGAGATGGTTATAAGTATTTAAATTCAGCTTTTTCAAATTGATGTATTAGAACATTCACATTTATATTTATCACAATTAACATAAAACAAAAGTCTCTTATTAGGAATAGAAAATTATTTTACTTAAAGAATAAACATTTTCTAGAAAACTGGACTTACTGGAATAGAGATTTTTTTCAAATTACAATCCTTCTCCAGGAGTTCATAGACATACTTCGTGATGATCTAAAAAGCAAGTAAATAATATTAATGTCTTAGGATGAAATGCCATATTATCAAAATTGATATAATTTTTGAGAAATTATTGGAAATTATTGCTGTGAATAAATAACTTCATATTGAAATATTCTGACATCACATCAAAATACATCTTACTGATTAATTATGTAGAATAATTTGATTTTTGCTGTACAAATAATTACAAATTTGATTCTGATAATTAAATATAAGTTAATCTAGACATAAAACACAGGGTTTTCTTTTATAAAGAGGTCATATTTTGTTAGTATTTCTAGAATCTGTTTCCACTATCATATTTCTATAGGTATTGTATCTAGTACGTACTCTGACTCTCACCTCTTTTTTATTCACTGAATCAAAGAGAGAAGGATCCAACATATTCAAAACGGAAAAGGAAAGCTGACCTTGCCAAGTCTGGTACCAGTCGGTATCACTGCTTATGCGGGACAGGAACTGTGCCTCACCCTCACAGATGTTCTGTTCCTGATTACTGGAACCTAATTCCTACAGATGAGTTAAAATCTACATGGCAAAAGAGTCTGTATTTACGATTAAGTTTAAAGAATCTGAGAAGGCCAGATTGTCCTGCATTATCTGCCTGAGTCCATGATAGTCACATGAATTCTGAAGTTAGCCAATTACAAAAGAACAGTGACAGAGGGTAGTGAGTAAGGACTTAATTGGTTGCTGCTGGCTTTGATGGGAGAAGAGGGATAACACAGGCAACAACAACAGACTCTGGAAAGTGACAGAACTTTTAAAATATACATCCAGTAAGAAAATGAGCTCAGTTCATCAAGAGCAAGGAAGTGAACAGCAAAGTAAAACAGTGAATACTTTCTCCCCTAGAACTTAAAACAGTCTGGCCATGCTTTCATTTTAGTTTAGTGAGACTCCTACTGAACTCTGGATCTAAGGAACTGGATGGTAATATGCTTGTGTTGCTTTATGTCATTATATTTATGTGATTTAATAGAGCAGCAACAGAAAACCAATAAGTATTGTTTTAAAGACCGAATTGATTTATCTGAAGGCACAGTCACAGAGAGAGAGAGAAAGAGACTGATTTTTCCATTCACTGGTTCACTCAATGGCCAAGCGAGGCCAGGCAGAAGCCAGGAACCAAGAGGTTCTCAGATGGTGGTGCACGGCCCTAACCACCTGGACTATCCTCAGCAGCTTTCCCAGGCACATTAACAAGGGGCTGAATCTGAAGTGGAGCAGCTGGGACTTGAACTCATGGCCATATTGGATGCCAACATGGTATAGTGGCTTTTCCCAAGAGTAAAAAAAAAATGTCTCTAATAAAAGCAAACAGGCACTGGTGGATGGTTTGAATGGTCATTTTAAGAAGTGCATCTTCTCCCCAAAATGTTTTGAGTTATCTATGCAGTGAATAATTTTAGCAGTGATATACTTAAAAATCAAATAGTATGAAATAAAATAAGACAATTTTTTTGGGGGGGAAATTAAGATGTCAATTGCTGTGGTGCTATATTCCACAAACTAAAATAGATTCTTTATCCTGCTTTCTTCAAGGAGTCCAAAATTCTTCTGTGTATACGTATTCATTTTATTTTAGAAGCAGCTGATTACATGTATACTTGAACAGCTTTATCTTGGCTGGTAAGGATAACTTCAGAGGCTATCATGTGATGTTGGGATTAAGGAATAATCTTAATTAACCAAGTAAGATTCTTCTACCTCAATTTACTATTTACAACTGTGTTTATTATACCTTCATCACACAATAATGATACTGTAGATTTGAAAGAGTAAACTAAAAATATGTAGATTCAGACTAAATATATGTGGGAAGTTACATAATGGTCTGCCATTTCCAGGAGAGTAGCTTAAGTAAATGAGATTAGTTAAAACAAGTAGCTTAACATTTCTGAAAATTTCCTATGAAATCATAAAATATCCTTACTTCTAAGACAACAACAACCAATGAAAGCTAATTCAAAACCAAATGAATTCTAACATTATGCAAAATACTTCAGGGACAATTTGAGAATTTAAAAATGAAACTATTTTGGCAGTGCTTACTTTACATTGATATAAACTCTAATATAGTTTATTCTCAATTTTTCATACTCCAGGATAATACAAGGCAACTTAAAAATTCTAAAACTCATTATATTTGGCATTAAAGTATATTACAGGCCAAGTACTATTCTAGATTTGTACTATATCAAATCAAATGATAAATCCGTATATGATGTTGAAGGAACACTAACTTGCTTGCCAAATATGCAGTGTTCTCAAATCACCGACTGCAGGGAAGAAGCCACCATGAACTACACATCGATTTTTCTGCATGTCACATGTCAGCTTACTTCAGGTGACAAATTCTGTGAGATAAGTGTTATACCTACGTGCATGCATCTCTCACCCTAGCTAAGCATTATTACACCACGCATTAGTCTTGTAACATTTACCTGCTACTTAATTAGTCTTGAAACACAGTGGTTTGAATATCCTACCTTCATCCCTCTGAGGATACTGTGTGGCATACTGAACACACTTTAAAATAGTACATGAATTATTATTGTACATCCTGTCTTCATCTTTTGCATAAGATAAGTGATTCTGATTTTTTTAAATCTCCCTAATTTTTGAATCAAGGCTTAGGAAACAAGAATCAAGGATTCATTCATTGCCTTCCAGACTGTACAAGACTGCAATCATAGAGAAAGACAAATTTTTAAAATATGAAAAGATAATTTTGAAAAGAACATGGAAAAAACATTTCTGTTTGAACATCATCTGTGTTCAATTACTCACTGGAAATGGTGTCCATAGAAGGAAAAGAAAAGGTTTAAGAGGCTAAGTGTGTTTTATATTTTTATCTTCATTTAGTAAGAATCACAGGAACTTCCCATTTCTAGTTGGATGTATATAGTGTTTGGCAGTAGCCACTCTTGAACTTACTGAAAAAAAAAATGTGGACAAACCGAAAGTCAATAATTCTTACATCCAATAGGTAACTAAGGACTTCAGACAAACGCTGCCCTGACAACTAGCAAGACCGATGAGAGAAGGAACCACAGAAACCCTTAGCTGAAGCCAGTATATTATAAATGATTACTTGCTGCAGGCCTAAAACAGACTAGTTTAAGAGTGAAAAATTAGGAAGCCTCCACTCAGCCTTAAAGGAGAGGAAGTGCAGGCATTTGTTGAGTTTTCTTGCCAGGAGCCCTACTGATTTCTCACTGTGAAAACTGCAAGGAAAACCCTCTGGTGCTTCTGGCAGATGAAGGGGCCGGGGGCGGGGAGAATATCCATTTGGAAATACCACAATGCTCTCTGTTTTACTTAACAAGCCTGACCTCCAGGGAAGCTGCTTAACCAGGGACTTATCGACACGGCCGGCTAAAGCTCACTACAAGACTGAGGCCTAAGACACAGAATCGGTGCCTTTCCTTTTCCTCCTCACCAAAATTTTGAATATATAAACAGAATTTTTGTGAAACACCAAGGGATTATAACTAAAAGAGTCAAGGCCTATATAAGGCCTCTATGAGATCCAAAGACAAAACACAAAAGCAAGGTCACTAGATGAAATTCTATCCTCTGACACACATCTAGAACAAGCAAGGAATGCAAAATATAAAATTCACATTAATGACCAATCTATCTCAGTTTGTTTTACTTATTTTATCATGCAAGGCTTTCAACATAAAATCGCGGGTATGTCAGAAGGCAAAATGAATAACAACAACCAATCCAGTCTGAAGAGAGACAGCAATCATCAAAACCAGACTGATAAATGGCAGAAATACTGGAATTATTAGGTTGCAAATTTTTAAAAAATATACGAGTAGTATGCTATGGAGTTTATCGTGCAAGGTGTACAACATACAAGAACAAATGGCATTGTGAGCAGAAGCATCACTAAGTAACAATCAAAAGAAAATGCTAGATCAAAATCATCCTAAAAGAAATGAAGCACGCCTGATCGGCTCACCAGATTGGACATAACCAGAAAGAAGTAGCAAGCCTAATGACAGGCCAACTGAAACTTTTACAACTTTTTGGAAGGGCTGAAAATTTTCACAAATATTCTCTCTCTCTCTCTCTCTCTCTCTCACACACACACACACACACACACACACACACACACACACACAGAGTTCCAGAAATTATAAAGAACAGATAATGGGATAAATACAAAAAAACTACACATAGCCATATCTTTTTAAACATATTTTATTTTTACTAGAAAGTCTCAGAAATACAGAGAGGAGGAGAGACAGAGAGGAAGATCTTCCATCCATTGATTCACTCCCCAAGCGGCCACAATGGCTGGCTCTCCCACACAGGTGGCAACATCCCAAGACTTTTGGCCATTCTCAACTGTTTTTCCAGGCCACAAGCAGGGAGCTGGATGGGAAGTGGAGCAGCCGGGATTAGAACCGGTGTCCATATGGGATCCCAGCCTGTGCAAGGCGAGGACTTTAGCTGCCAGGCTACTGTGCCAGGCCCACCATATCATATTTAAATTGCAGAAAGACAAGGAGAAAATTCTGAAATAAGCTGGGTGTAGGGGCCAGGGAGATACTTTATCTTGAGAATCACCAGAGTAAGGATTAACACTGAACTACTCTTGGAAAACACACAAACAAAAAAAAGAGCAAAGCAAAAGATTCAACAACCCGAGAATTTTGTATCTTTCAAAATTATCCTTCCAAAGTGAAGGAGGGGCTGACACATTGGCATAGGAGATTGGGTCTCTGCCTCTGGAGCTGGCATCCCATGCGAGCACCATTTATGGTCTGATCCAGCTCCCTGCTGGTGAGCCTAGGAGAACAGTGAAGGCTGACCCAAAACCTTTAGCCCCTGCACTAACACAGAATAAATACATCATTTTTTTAAAAAAGAAATTTCCTTATAAATTCCTAAGTCAAAAGTCACTACAGCATTCTGATTAATTGTAAATATATCACAAACGTAAATAAACTTTGATACTATGAGGTCTTGCT